ACCCAGGTCAAGAGAATTGGACCATGCGCAGTCTCGATCGGGTAGTTCCCCGCGAGACTAGGTCATTGTACTCCATCTCATCGCACTAAAAATACTTTTCGCTCTTGTTTCTTGTTGAATCTGAAGCTTGACGGGACTCCCTCCCCCTGGGGCAACAATAGACGAAGTTTATCTTGGTTTGATCATCCTTGTGTCCGAGAGTGAGACATGGTGATGGTTTCATGAGAAAGATCTGTGTATGGAGTAATGAGTTCTCGGATTCAGTCGGCTGTACCAAGCTCTTTAGGGTAAAGATATGATATCTCAGTCAACCGGTGGGTTCGGTACGGGTTAGCTATAGACAATGCCAAGCTTTGAATTCTGCTCTTCCCAGCCTTTTCGACCGCGGAAAAAGGTGACCGGAAGGAGTCCGGTTCCTGGTCTGGACTTATTATGACATGGCGGGCTGTTTAGTGGAGGCCCGTTTCCATGGAGCAATAATGAGAAATGCTTGTGAATGGCCTGATTTTTGCGCCAAACACGTGTGTGCTTAATCACCTGATCTATAGGAGATTGTACATGTATAGCCTGGCATTCGACCAGTCCTATATGATCAGTCCAAGCACAGTAGAATCAGATATGCCGGAAGATAGAAGATCCCACAGCCACAACCGTCGATACGGGACTTCGGAGAAAATACCAGGGGTCGCTCAACTGGGAGTGGGACGGTTTCAGTGGCTGCATGTAAGCGCCCACTGAAACTCTGAAACGAGAGAGCGGGTGCTTCAGGTCCCAGCGCCAGTTTGATGAGCCTTGGCTGGCTCCACTTGACTCCCGTTGGACTCCAAGGCCGATTCCTTGTCTAGAAGGACGCTGAAAGGAGAAGGTAATATGAATATCACTTATGCAGTCAGACTGGTCACGTCGAATGATACATGAACATGAGATACGGAGACACTGGAAGGGATGTACAGGAGTGTTTCTTCAGGAAAAGATAATAAGACAAAAATAGAACAGAAGAAGTGCAAGTAGAAGAAAACAGTTGAAGATGGAAGAGGACTAAAATTGGGACTATGCCGTACCAGGTGGTAAAATACAGCGTAATTTACTGATTTCATGGCCCGCAACGCTATGACTAACAATAACATACTAGTTTATGACCGGTCAGGGTCTCTAACCGCCTTACTTCTTCTTCTTCTCCCCCTTCTCATCTTCATCTCTAACATCCTCTTCACTTTCGTTTCTATTTCCGCTGCGCGAGAATATACAGAGCTTACCGGCTGGTCCAGTTCAATCTCTACTCTTTCTTTATCGTCAAGAGGCTGGTTCCTCTTCCACATCTACCGTGACATCTGTGATATTCTGTCAACATTGGACGGACATTGATCTTCGCGCTTCTGATTTCATTGTGTTATTGAATTATTCTGGTGAGTGTCTACCCGAGGTTTCGATCCCAGCACAGCGGCTGAGAATGCGGTTCTTTCATCGGAGCCGCTTCTTTGTTCGCGTGTGGGTTATCGACTTGCCTCCTCCCGGTCGGAACTGACTGTTTATGCAGTGCGCATTCAAAGAACAACAACATGTATCCTCAGCCGGGTGCCCCGATGGCACCACCGCAAAAGCCCGAAACATTCATGCTCTCGACCGAAGCACAGCAAAGTCTACCGCATGATGCGCAGGTTGCGCTGCAGCAAGTGGATAACTGTAGGTTATTGGGTGGTCTCTCTGCCTCAGAGTATGGTATTGACATTCGCCAGTGAAATACTTCCTCTTGTCAGCCCCAGTCGACTGGCCTCCCGACCAGCTTATTCGCCGTTTCTTGCTTCCCACAGGCGACTATGTCTCTTGTGTCCTCTGGTTAGTCTTGCCGCAGTGAGTGACCGGGGAAAGTGACTGACCACCTTAATAGGAGCAACCTTTTCCACATCTCCGGTACCGATATTGTCCGATGTCTCGCATTCCGATTCCAAGCCTTCGGACGTCCGGTGAAGAACTCGAAAAAGTTTGAGGAGGGCATCTTCTCGGATTTGCGAAACCTCAAGGCCGGAACCGATGCGACACTCGAGGAGCCCAAGAGCGCGTTCCTGGATTACCTGTACAAGAACAACTGTATTCGGACGCAAAAAAAGCAAAAGGTGTTCTACTGGTACAGCGTGCCCCACGACCGGCTATTCCTGGATGCACTGGAACGGGACCTGAAGCGCGAGAAGATGAACCAGGAGGCCACCACGGTCGCAGTCAGCGAACCGGCCATGTCCTTCGAATTCGACTCGTCCCAGTCCCTGTACGAGCAATTGACCAAAGCTCAACAAGCGAACTCGTCCTCGTTTGCTGCCCACGCAAGTACGACATATGGCCAGCCCAACTCCCCCGTGGTTCGGACCGTTGACGCAATGCCTCCCCCGCAGATGGCTCCCCCAGCGATCCCTCTACTCCAGGACGACAGTGGGAATCCGATGTACAGCCAACCTTCGATGCCCCTGTCGCACACCTTGGTCCAGAGCATTATTAAGCGTGAGCAGGACTTCGGCCCTATCCAGTACGATCGCAACGGTATGCCCATTCACCGCATGCACCAGCGCCATTCTTCCATGCCGACTTTCTACGAATATTCTCCCGCGCCGTCGTTTGTGTCTTCGCAGTACGAAGACTACAGCAACCGGGGTCTGTCCTTTGAGCCAGTCACCCCGCCGCAGCACTCGGTCGGCCTCGGATCGGAACCCGCCTACATCGCCAACGAGGATACAGGCCTCTACACAGCAATTCCGGATCTCTCCAGTGGGCACGCATACAACCCCATGATGCAGCTGCCCCCGTCGAATCTGGCTAGCGCTCATTATCCTCCGGCGCCTCGGTCTTTCTCCTCGAACCCGTATTCCGTTATTGAGGGATCCCCGACCTACAAGCAGCGCAGGCGTCGATCTTCCATCCCACCCAACTCCGCGAACGTTACTCCCGGCACTTCAGGTCATGTCCAATCCACGACTCCATCCGCTCAGCCAGTTTCCTATGCTGCTCACAGACCTAGTGACCTACGCCGCTCAGTTTCTAGCTCGGTAGCTCCGCTTGCAGAGGGAGATGAGACCACTCAAGATCTCGCTCGTACTTACCCAAGTGCGATGCTCCCTCAAAAGGATCTTATGCAGGAGATGTCTCGGCACGGTACGCCGCTGCAGAACCTCGACCAGAGCACCGGTCAACATTCAGTTCCAATGACAAACCAACCGGATGATCTGACTGCTCTGCCAACCAATGCATCTCTCGAGACTGCAGTTTCAAACGCTACTGGTCGAGAGCGTTCGGCGCCGGGACCTGCCCGGAGAGCGAGGAGCGCCACCATGATGGAGCTGGGACCTTACCCCCAGAAGTCTCACTCTTGTCCGATCCCATCTTGTGGCAGAGTATTCAAGAGATTAGAGCATCTTAAAAGGTAAGCTGATCTCCATTCTATTTTCACATCAGCCCACATCGGTGGGGCTGATCTGCATCGTAACCGTATAGCCAACTGACGCCTATTTAGACACGTGAGAACACATACTCAAGAGCGTCCTTATGAATGCCCGTTCTGCACCAAGGCCTTCTCTCGGTCTGATAACCTCGCACAGTAAGTTTGGGCATCCTACCCCTGGCATACTTGGTATTAACCTTGACTAGACACCGTCGAATCCATGAAGCGCAACAAGATGGTCAGCCAATCGTCCCAACAGACGAAGACCTAGAGAATGATGAGAACGAGTTCAGCTCCCAGAGGGAGAGCATCTCCCCACCTCAGCCGGCTCACACTATGATGAACATGACGAACATGACCATGCCAGCTCCTATGACTATGCCGTCCGCCATACCCAACATGGTTGCTTCGCACATGATCGCTCCACAGCTTCTGCAGCAACACATGTGAAGATCACAGAGCGCGATGCACCAGCTAAATCACAGTTGATGCATCCACTCTTCTCTTCAATTTTGTCTTTCATTAGGAATCTGGGGCGCACGCCGGCGCCATTGGTTTCGGGTTTATATCGCCTGTTTAATCGCACATCGTCACATTCACCAACGCTAACCTCGCGCATACCGCGATTCTGTGTATAGCCTTTGTGGTATTGCATCTTTGCGTCTCTGTCATTCTTCTATATGTGTTTTTTTTGCGGGTTCGGGCTGTGTAATTGGGCTCAACAGGAAACACCCTGTATATTCGGTGTTGGCTAGTCTCTGCCTTTGCACGCGAAATGGGTTTCAGCGGCAGCCACTTACCTCATGCTGCCTGGCGGGAACGGGCACGAGAGGACGTGATGCGAAAATCTCAACGCCTGGGTGGATGGAAATGGAATGGAATTTTGGGAAAGCTTTTTCTTTTTTCTTGGATTATCAGGCATTGTCCAGGAAGAGTGGCTAGGCTGGGAATTGGGAAGGGCCGTTTATACTACGCCTACGGCTTTTATCATATCATATCATATCATACATAGACAGTGACATATTGTAACGAACTTGAATAGGATGTTAAAATTTTAAAAACGATACTTGTTTACTTTACGCCATCGTAAGTTCAGTTGTACGCTATCTATATATGGAAACGTCACGTGTTGCTGACTCGATGCGTCCTGAAGACGTGATAGGATGCCGCACATCGCTGATCTCATTTCATTTCATACCAGACTGGAGGCCACAAATCCAGCCTGATCTATCACATCACATCTTCGCGCCTGCCAGGTGAAATGCGTGTCCACTTCCAAGTCCCTAACCCTGCGGACTCTCCCCGACTGACTTTCTCCACTCCGGCCACTCCACCAATCCATCTACTGCTCTAAGCAAGGTACCTACAGGAGGTTTCATATAGCAGCACCTGATCTGACAAGCTCAGCCACAACTCTGGTAACCGCAAGCCTCAGCGGTTGGAAGTACGCTCCCCGATTCTAAAAACCTATGTGGTATTGATCCGCGCACGATTCCACAACTCTGATTAACCCTCACAATCGCCTTCACCGCCGGCACTGCCTATAACCGTAACCATAACCCCCCAAGCTCCAATGAGAGAGGTCGCTGGTCGGCCTGTCTCCATTGACGAGGGATCACCGCTAATGCCTTCTTCTCCGGATGGGGACGGGCATGGACATGGCCGTGGAGATGAAGACATCCGTCCGCTGAATGGTGGTGTTGATCATGAGAGGTCTAAGAATGCTTTGTATATGTTGCTCTTGACCTTGCCGATTGGAGGGTAAGTTTGGAATCTCTTTTGTTTTTGATTCTCTCGGATCTAAGGCGCGGTGGATTGCTAATACTTTTCTGTTTACTTGATAGCCTTCAGGTTGTGTGGTCTGTTGAATTGTCTAATGGGTCGGTGAGTATACACAATGCAATTGAAATACTATCCTGAACGAAGACACTGACTAGATGATGATATAGCCTTACCTCTTATCCCTTGGGATGAGCAAAGCCCTTCTGGCGTTTGTCTGGATCGCCGGTCCTTTGACAGGTGGGCTGGTGCAGCCCTATATCGGCATCAGAAGTGACAATTGTCGCAGTTCATGGGGCAAGAGGAAGCCGTTTATGGTCGTTGGCGGTGCAGCTACCATAGTCGCATTGCTATCCCTAGCATGGGTGAGAGAGCTTGTGGGCGGTTTCTTGTCGATATTTGGCGTGGGTTATGGTTCCCAGGGAATGAAGATTGTTGTCAATATCGTGGCTACGATTCTTATGTATTGCCTGGATTTCGCTATCGCTACCGGTGTGTACACCTTGCGGCACTGAGTTGGTTGCCGACTGACTGACCATCTTCCTACATAGTGCAAGCTGCAATCCGAGCATTCATTGTCGACAACTGTCCCTCACACCAGCAAGAATTGGCTAATGCCTGGGCGAGTCGGCTAATCGGGATTGGCAACATCCTAGGTTATATCCTTGGCTATCTACATCTGCCAAAGATTGTACCGTTCCTGGGAAATACCCAGTTCAAGGTTCTTTGTGTACTCGCCTCCGTCTCGTTGACTGTTACCGTCGCCATCAGCTGCGCCTACATCAAAGAGCGTGATCCTCGACTCGACCCGCCTGTGGAAGACAAGCTTGGGATTGTCTCGTTTTTCCGCCAGGTCATCAAGTCTATCCGCAGACTCCCGACGCAGATTGCTCGTGTCTGCGAGGTACAGATTGCTGCATGGGTGGGCTGGTTCCCGTTCCTGTTCTACTCTACGACCTATATCGGACAATTATACGTCAACCCGATCTTCGCTGAAAACCCCAACCTCCCCAAAGAGAAGATCGATGAGGCTTGGGAGGATGCTACCCGGATGGGCGCATTCGCTCTCCTCATCTACGCCATAATCTCGTTCCTCGCAAATACACTACTCCCTCTGTTCACGGTGCCCACGTACAGCCCCTCCCCAAAGACAACCTCGCAACCGGCCTCTCCAAGTGGTGACTACAACGAAGACGAAGAACCGACTGGCAGGAGATTATCATTCTCAGGAATGCCGATAGGCACTGCATCTGAGCCCCTCCTCGACGCAACCCCACACCATGAAGCAGAGGGCAAACCAACCTGGCTTTCACGTCTACAAGTACCAGGTCTAACTCTCAAACAGGTCTGGTTTTTTTCTCACCTCCTTTTCGCCCTTTGCATGTTCAGCACTTTTTTCATCTACTCCCACCAAGCGGGAACCGCATTCGTCGGACTAGTCGGTATCCCCTGGGCCGTTTCCCTCTGGGCCCCCTTCGCTCTCATCTCCGCTGAAGTTGCTCGCATTGACCCCTCCCGGCGGCGTCATCGCCATGTTGAGAGGGCTTTCGATGAGCCTGGTGCTTCTGTCGGTGGTATGAACTACCAATGTGAAGCCCAAGAGGTTCATGATGAGGACGAGGAGCATGGTGATCATGAAAGTGACATTGTTTGTGATGATGTTGAACCGGGTCATTCTAAGCACGAGGATGATAGCAGTGTAGCCCAGGCTGGTATCGTCCTTGGGCTGCACAACATGGCTGTTTCATTCCCGCAAATTCTGTCTAGTCTTGTTTGCAGTGCTATCTTTAAGGCAGCACAGAAACCTAGAGGGGAGCCATGGGATGATAGTGTTGGGTGGGTGCTACGATTTGGGGGGTGTGCTGCTTTGGTGGCTGCTTGGTTGACAAGGAGACTTCGTTGATGTAGAAATAGGAATGCATCTAAATGCATATGGCATATACATGTTCACATCCTTGAAAGGAGGAAGGGGTAGAGTATGTGGGTCCGTAGGGCAATATGATACAATATGACAATATGTTGTTATGTCAAGCTGTTCAGCCCCTTGGTTGATTCCTGCCGTTTCTTGGCAGTTGCGCGGCGTCTTGTCCACGTGTTATATTTCGGTATTACAATAACAGAACAGTAACAATATGTTATCTCCGGAGTGCGGTATCCCAGCCCTACCGCCCGATCTGACCACCTGTAACCCGTACTGTCCTGTTCCATACCATACCGCATCCAAGCCAACTGTCTGCAACTTAAGCCCCGAACTGCCTAAACTCCGCGTATCAACCTCTCCAGTCGCAACCTCTCTTCCTCTCGGATTATGTGCGCCTGCTCCTCACATCTACAACTCACTGTGGGAGTGAACTACCGGTCCGCGCTGGTCCTCGATACCTCCTAAGGCGCCGCCATGGCGACCCAATTCATGAACGATGCCCTCCACGCCCTGCTTCGTATGTCCCTCTGATCGGCGCTCTTGAACACCGCGCTTGATTTCTATATTAGGATGACTAGCTAACATCTTTGTTCTTCTCTAGGGAGAGCCGCTGAGGACTCCGATCCCGATGGTACGCGTGCCTGAATTTATTCCCCCCCTCTCATCATCCCCTCTCGCCCGCCTGAATGGCGCTTTACAACTTCAGTGATTTAACTATGGGTTTTCATTGCAGATGCCCCCGAGGCAGGGAACAAGGAGATCACAAGCTCCTGGGCGTTGTTTATTATGATCATGTTGTTAATGTTCGCTCTCTTTACGAGCTACATGCTTCAACAGAAGAAGATCCAAGCTGTCCATGAGACGGTTCTGTCGATTTTTGCAGGTATGCATATACTCAAGGCTTCGATGCGCATTATGCAAATCGCAAATTGGACCGGGAATACTGACTGTCGGCAGGGATGTTCGTCGGGTTGATTATTAGATTAACGCAGTCAACCCTTCAAGACAGCGTCGCCTTCGATTACCAATTCTTCTTTAACCTCCTCCTTCCTCCGATTATCCTCGCCTCCGGATACGAACTTCACCAATCTAACTTCTTCCGGCATATCGGCACTATCCTTACATTCGCCTTCGCCGGTACTTTCATCTCGGCGATTGTGCTTGGCCTGGTTCTTTACCTTTGGACACGGATCCCGCTGAACGGCCTGAACATCTCCTTTGTTGAAGCTATTTCGGTGGGCGCAACCCTCTCCGCTACAGATCCTGTTACCATTTTGGCTATTTTCAACCTCTACAAGGTCGAGCCAAAGCTTTACACTATCATTTTCGGCGAGTCGATCTTGAACGATGCGATTGCCATTGTGTTGTTCGAGACAGCGCAGAAGTATGCCGAGAGTGAGGCCGGCTCTTTGACTTTCCTCAATCTCTTTGAGGCTATCGGGCTTTTCTTGCTTGTGTTCTTTGGAAGTATGCTGGTTGGCATGCTGGTTGGAATCGCAACCGCGCTCGGTCTCAAGTACACTCTTGTGCGGCGCATGCCTAAGATCGAGAGCTGTCTTATCATTCTCATTGCCTATGCCAGTTATTTCTTTTCCAATGGCGTGCATCTGTCGGGCATTGTCTCGCTTTTGTTCTGTGGCATTACCCTCAAGCATTATGCTTACTATAATATGTCGCGTCGCACTCAGTTGACCACGAAATACCTGTTCCAGGTTATGGCTCAGCTGTCGGAGAACTTCATCTTCATTTACCTTGGTCTTGACCTTTTCGTTGAGGCTAATCTCCAGTTTAACCCCTTGTTCATCCTGGTATCCGTGTTTGGTATCTGTCTCGCGCGTTACCTCGCAGTGTTCCCGCTTTCCAAGGCTATCAATTGGTTCCTTCGTTATCGGGCACGCCGCCGTGGTGTTGAAGTTGCAGATGAGCTACCATTCGCCTACCAGGCCATGCTCTTCTGGGCTGGACTGCGTGGTGCCGTCGGTGTTGCGCTAGCAGCCGGTCTCTCTGGCGTCAACGCCCCAGCACTTCGAGCCACAGTCCTGGTTGTTGTCGTGTTAACCGTCATCATCTTTGGTGGAACCACAGCACGCATGCTGGAGATCCTGGGCATCCGAACCGGTGTGGTGGAGGAGCTTGACTCGGATGACGAATTCGACATTGAGGTCACCCACGGAGGAACCTATTACAAGCGCTCCGGTACTGGCCTGGGCTACACCCCACGCCGCGCCGACTCGGTCATCCCAATGGATGGCGTGACGCCTGCTGCTCCACGCGCTGGTCTCGGGGAGCGAGCAGACAGCTACTCAAGCGGCAACAACCGCCGCCCAAGTCCACCACATACCCATACGCGCATGTACTCCGCGGCGTACAGCAACAAAGATCAATCCTGGCGTGACCGTTCATCCGCCGCGACTCTACTCGATGGCGACGCTGCCGGCCCAGGCAGTGATGATGAGTTCGGCCTGCCGCCCACCGGCACCAGCCGCTCCAACCGACCCGTCGACCCAGATGAGTTCGAGGTCTCTGATGATGACCTCCCGCCTGCCGCAGACGGAGCCTCGCGTCTTCGACGATCCGCCTCCCAACCCCCGGCTCCTTCGCCGCACGCTCGATCCCCCAATGCAGCCTCTACCAGCGTCTCCCCTTCCCGGCAGGGAACAGGCCTCACTGCTCGCGAGGCACTGCGGGATTTATGGTCTGGTGGTGCGTCGGGCGATCATGCAGCTTGGTTCCGCCAGCTCGACGAGGATTATATCAAACCCACGTTGTTGCTAGACCAGTCAAATTACAAAGGTCCCGGTCCTGGGGCGGTTTGAGTTTTATACCTTAGGATGATGGGTTCTTCTTGCATGTTTCTTCGATCTGGATGTATATTTAGCCTTTCTTGTTTGGGTCTGCATTCTCATGAAGGAACGTTCTTTTTCTTTTTCTTTTCTGGCATTCTCGGTCTTTTTTCACCTTCCGAGGATTGGACTGTAACATAACATACAATGTAGCTTTAAAAAGATAGTATACTAGCGCAATTCATTCAGTCATCCATCTAACTTATAGGAGGATAACACTGGAATCCATCAGAGTTTCGACTCCGCACTTTAGCCTCGACATAAGTTACCCCACATATCCGTAAGTTATCTCAACCTCGGACATTACCTTCCAATCGTACCAAAGACTCATACAATAATTGAAACAATACGACAATCAGGTCAGACCTTAGATCTCTATCTGCACATCAGATAAAAATCCATCACGTAAACAAAGCTGACCCTGGAAGATAAGCAAAGCTTCGCCCCTTTCTCCAACATCCCAACTGCATGGTCTTATCGACCACTCGGAACAACTTAAGCTATCTCTAGCAGGGCAAAATTGTACTGTACTTGCTTGTATGGCGCTATTCTCAATCGGGGTATACTCGCGCCCATACCGTGTTCGTTCAGCCACTCAATTCTCGATTCTCAATATAGATAGAGATAGAATTAGAGATATTGTAGCTTGTGATGTTGAATCCCCGCTCTCGGGATATTACAGAATTTAATTCTGATATCTATCGGACGGCCTGATGGTCTGGACGTGACACTTGTATGTACTGTAGATGAAGTCTATCTTACAAAACTGTATAATTTCCGCTGTTTCTGAGGTTGAACATGTACCTAGTTCACTCGTCACTCTACATACCGTATTTCTCTGTCGGATGGAGCTTTTCTATTTTAGGTAGCTGCTGCTGCTGCTTTATCGCTGGGCTCACTACACTGGAGCCCACTACATGAGACTCGACATGTGATAACATCTCCCTCCCCCTAGGTTGAAATACTCTCTACCATGGCCGTCAATTCATTCAGCTCCGGTCGCTCTGTAAGGTCTGTATGCATACACGCCTCAACAATCCGATCAAAAGGCGGAGTAACAGGCCATTCCACTTCCGAAATCATTGAAAACATTTGCATAAATGATACATTTGATGACAGCGCCAATATCATAGATATCAGATTTTCCAATCCAGTTAGAAGCCAACATATCTTCGAGCACTATCTCGACTGCACTGAGCTGTCCCCAGCGGCTTTCGAGATCAGCGAGAACCCGTGCCTGGCCTCCAGTTGAAAACAGAAGGTTTTCGATGTGAAGGTCAGGGTAGACAATTCCCAATGAATGAAGAACTTTCAGCACGGCGATAATGTGCAAAAAAAGGCCACTGCTTGTACATGGCTATCGAGCAAAAGCGACCAAGGGCAAAATACCGCGGACCGAGGCTTGCTTTCGAAAACAAGCCCACTGGCAGGAGATTTGCTAAACAGCTTGATAATGTGAGGTGAGAGAGGTGTGCCTGGGCCACAGCCTCCTTGACGGGAAATTCGGACCTTTGCACATAGCCATCTCATACGTATGGTTCCAGGCACTATTTTTGCCCATATACACTTGAACTAGAACCAGCAAAGTTAATTGAGCGGCATTATCCCCATGGGATTTCACTATGACGAGTAAGCAAAAGGACAGAACTACCGCAGAAAAAGTCAATACTGGATGGAAGACTGCTAAGGGTTCCTGGTCTCTGAGAGCTTCCAGATCCATTCTCTTTCCTCTGCTTTGTTTGGTTACCGCTGTCGGCTGCATGTCCCCTTTCAGAGCGTGACAAGCCCGGCTTCTGTCGGTCGCCGCGGCCCACCCAACCGGAGAACTGATGGACGGGGGACTCCTATAGAGAAGAGAGAGAAGGAAGGGATATAAACCACCTGCAGGTGAGAACCTAGCGGTGACCACCTGCAGATGACTAGCCTGCTACGTTTTCTAAGCTGCAATTTCGATAGCCGGGAGCTTATTGGAATTGACCGTGATAGTGTCAGCTATATTGGTCGTGCACTAGATAAAATCAGTAAGGGTTTCCAATATCTCAGAACAAAGGTCTAGCGGAGCCGCAGCAGCATAACTCTCTAACCAAAGAGCGCGATGAACAGACTGGTTTTTATCACTCTTCTTTTGGCTTAAAAGAAACTTACAGGTAGCGCTTCTAGACATTGAAGGCTACACCCAATATACCAAATAATAAACATCGAGATCTACACGGAGTTCATATCGCTCATATTATATAGATACCCCTTACCGTCTTAAGAAAAACGCGTAGTATCTGTGTTACCAGTATCTATGGTACATGTACTTCGTGTCTTATTGAGTAAAGAGCGGCAAGGCCGAAGCACTAAAACGGAAAGGGGGCGCTAAGAAGTGGCAGAGGAAATCTGGTATCTAAGTACCAAGATAGGCTAAGCACATACATAGTTCAGGATTGAGTTATCATAAACACGGGTTCAGTTCCGCTTCCGCATTGTGCAGCACTTGTATATGTACATGTACCCCTCAGTTGTCCCAGATAGGCAGATTAGATAGCTGATCGTTTCATGGCCTGTCATATGGAAGGCTGCTAGAAGCTTGTTTGGATTACCCCGTATAAGTATTATTATAAGCCGAGCCGTCGCACGGGTTCTAGCTTTTATCTTTCGTCTTTTTTCTCCCTCTTGCTTATTTAAATTCGATTATATCCTACTGCGGCTCTTTATCGAGGATAGCTCTTGTGTCGGATGAGCATTCCTAACATCTTCATCCGCCCCGCTCCCTTCTTCGACCATTAAGTTTCGTGCTTCCATCTAGTTACCTCAATTATCGCAATTATGGCCGATATACTAGAGAAAGTTATGTCTCACAAGAAAGCTGCTTCGGTGGCTACGGGGCATGACTCGAAGCCGCAGGCCGGGGATACGGAGTTGTTAGGTATGTCATGCCTATTCCCTTGCTGGAGCATATAAATATGACTGAGACTAACTGTTTGATAGCAACACTGGGGTACAAGCAGGAATTGCGACGTCATTATTCGACAGTTGAGATTTTCGCTGTTGCGTTTAGTATTATGGGACTTTTGCCTTCAATTGCTTCGACTCTGTCATTTTCTATGCCTGCCGGTCCGGTCGGTATGGTTTGGGTGAGTAATATGCACCCTATCAATTGCTTTGATTGTTACTTACTGATTTTTAGGGTATGTAATTCCTTTCGAGGGGTATAAGTTCTCTGGTACTAATACATTCTGACAGGGTGGCTGGCTGCAAGTTTCTTCATTTTTATTGTCAGTTTGGCAATGGTATGTTTGCTTCTTCTATACAGCTCTGTAGAATAGCTCAATACTGACAGCATTCAACGTCAGGCCGATATGGCATCTGCAATGCCCACAGCCGGAGGTCTGTATTTCTGGACACATTACTACGCAGCGAAGAAATGAAAGAATCCCCTTAGTTTCCTCGTGGGATATAGCAACACCCTCGGCTTGGTAGGAGGAATCTGCTCCATCGATTGTCAGTCGAATCCTTCTTTTCTTCCAAGTGCGCCTTCCTAACGAAAATCCCAGACGGATTCGCAAACATGCTCCTCTCCATGATCTCTATCGCTCGAGATGGCAACTGGACGGCCACAAGACCAGTCATCTACGGTACATACGTGGCAACAGTCGCCGCGCATGGCTTTATGGCCATCTTTTTTGGGCGAGCAATGCCTAAGATCCAGTCCGCGTGTATATTCCTCAACATCGCTCTAGTCGTCGCTACTGTTATCGCCCTGCCAATCGGAAAGGCACATAACAGTCCACCCGTGAACTCCGGCTCTTATGTCTTCGGTGAGATCCAGAACTATACGACTTGGCCCACGGGCTGGGCATTTATGTTGGCATGGCTGTCCCCTATTTGGACTATTGGTGCGTTTGATTCTTGCGTGCATATGAGTGAAGAGGCTACTCATGCTGCCCGCGCTGTACCATTGGGTATCATTAGTTCGACTGGATTGTGTGGTGTCCTTGGGTTTGTCTCTCTGGCTGTTATTGCTTCTTCGATGAGTAAGGATATCGAGGGTATTTTGGGCTCGAAGTTTGGTCAGCCTATGGCTCAGGTTTGTTCTATCTCTGTTTCTTTCTTCCCAAAGATGAACCCCTAACCGTTCCATTCAGATCTACTATGATGCCCTCGGCAAGAACGGTGCGCTTGGATTCATGGCCTTGACTATGATCGTCCAATTCTTCATGGGGCTTAGTATCGTAAGTCATCACACAACCCAACAATCCACCACTATACCACCCACTAACGAAAGAAAAGGTCCTAGCAGCATCCCGCCAAAGCTGGGCGTTTTCCCGCGACGGCGCCCTCCCTTTCTCCAAATACTTCCGAAAAGTAAGCCAACACAACCTAATGCGCTACCAACCTGTACGAATGGTCTGCGGCGTAGTCGCCGCATCCATAATCATTGGCCTCCTTTCCCTTATCGACAACGCCGCAGCAAACGCTCTGTTCTCCCTCGCTGTAGCTGGTAATGACCTAGCCTGGCTAACGCCTATCCTGTGTCGCTTGCTTTGGGGTAATGAGAGCTTTGTTCCTGGTGAATTCTATACGGGGAAGTATCTCAGCAAGCCTATTGGCTGGGTTGCGGTTATTTATATGATTTTCGCTATTGTGCTCAGTATGATTCCTACTGAGGGGCCTAGTCCTTCGTGTGAGTTTCGATTTTCTTCTTTTGGTTGGTGTGGGAATGGTTTTGCTGACTTGCTTATATAGCTTCGACTATGAACTATACCGTTGTTATTAATGGGTCGCTTTGGGGTTTGGCTTTACTTTATTATTATGTTTATGCGAAGAAGACTTATAAGGGGCCACGGACTACTGTTAGTCCTGAGGATGAGGGCATGGCTACCCATGTAGATATGGAGACTAAATAGGGGGATGCCGAGGGTCACGTATTAACTTTGTTTGGAACAAAGTATAGAATCCATCAATACAGTGCGAACTAGTAGAACGCAGCGGGCATACCAAGTGCATCTTCAAACCACTGATCATCTCCCAGATCCATCGATTGCATCCAAACCATCTGATCTAGATTTGGAATTTGGTGATTGTGGCAGTTTCTCTCAGGATTGGCGTCCTCATTTTGTATATGAGAAGCCATGTTCCACCGTGCTTCAGCCCATGCCCGACATCTGGTTAAAAGCTTGGACAAGTACTTGAGTAAATGGTCGTTACACTGAAGTTCCAGCTCTTTGCTGCTGAGGTCGAGCTTCTGAAGCATACAGTCTATCGTCGATACTAGGTGGACTGTGTTTCTCACTGCTTGACAGTCCCATTCGGGTTTTGGTGTGTCGATAGGTATTTCAAAAGCGTGATACTCAAAATCATCTGTGACCAAAAGTGGAAGGGCTGGCCGACAAGTTTCGAACAAGGGATTCGGTAGAAATTGTCCAGCCAGGATTTAATATTTTCAACTGACTGCCTGCTGCATTCAAAATTAGGCAACCTTTCGGGTCAGAACGCAAAGTTGTAACTGAGCTCTAGGGACCCAAGTGCGGCTGGCCTTGAGATGCATGAGGCTCCCTCAGCAGTTGTTCGTATGCGCGAACCCAACGGAAGAAGGCACGATGAAGTACTATGGTTAACTCACCCGAGGAATCACAGAGTATCTCGGTCATCTCGATGTCGATGCTTGTCACTGCTGGTCACTGCTGGTCACTGTTCGAATACAGAGCTGTTGTAAGCGTCTACGTGGATACGTAGACCGTCATCAGGAAGAAGAGAAAGATGATAATATTGCTCTGTCTTCCTGGTAGTGCCCGCGACCACGAGACCTAACGTCATGTGGCCCTCTCTATGCTCTGTCCATCTGTCCCTCTGTCATCTCTCGCCGTCGAAAGAGGCCCATCGTCCTCGTGTGGCCTTCCTCAGCGCCTGGCTAACAGACGCTGCCCCATCTCCCGTAGCTCCGTCTTCTGCGCGCCGTCAGGCATGTCTTGGATCGTGCTGTTGATCATGTCCACTTTGGTGAGGTTTAATGCGTCCATGACCTCTCCTCGTCGGGTAGGTTCTCTTTTGACCGTATCTATCACAGGTTAGATCGTAGATGGTATCGGTATCAAGCGTGCACGCAATATGTCCCTATGCTCTAGTGTAAGGTTGCCCTCGTAGCTGGTGAGCGATGATGAGAAATTCTTTTAGGGGTTTCTCGTTAATGCTCTGTTGCAACATTGATGACAAGCTTCTGCCGGTACCAGATGACCCGTGATGTAGCTATGATCGGTCGTGCTTGCCCGCTTAGGCTCACAGCTCTCCATCTGTCCGTACAGTAAAGCGGAGTCTGCGGCTGAAACCCGGACTCAATTCAGGTTCACCTGCAGGGAACTACATCTTGGGATGATGCCACCTCCGTGTCTGGTTTGGTCAGAATACAGGCGAATGGCCAAAGAAAAGGGTAGAATGTAGGTAAAATATGATACAGTTCATTAAGCGTTTATGCTTCACTGGAATGATAGCTAGACAACAATGAGGTAATAGCGTCACAGGATAGCCATACACTACTAGGACGCCTTAGATCGAGAAAAGACTCAGAAATAGAACCCCACTTCGTTAATGGCCAGCTGGGTCGCTGGATTGCATTCAACACGGTCATGCCCGGTATCGATCTCACAAAACCTCATGTTCTATCTGCAGACGCTATCCAAAGCAATGAATCTATTCCGGGATCTCAAGGACGTAGCGACCAGCAATCTTGCCTTGCTCTGTAGAACTGATCAGCATATGCAGTACATTATAGTAGGGATCGCGAAAACATACCCATGAGCTCGAACACCTCCGGCAATTCCTTCAGAGGAACAGTCTTGTATGGAGCCTTGATCAAACCACGCACAAAGAAGTCAACAGCCTCGACACCATCTTGGCGGTTACCGACGTAGCTGCCCTTGATGTTGATCATCTTGACAACGGTGGTGAAAACGGGAGCCTTGAGGAATGCATTGGCGGGCATACCGATAGCAACGATCGAGCCACGGGGACGGGCATACTCGACAGCCTGCTGGAAAGGCTTCTCAGAGACAGCAAGTAGGAGTACAGCATGGGCACCCAGGCCTCCAGGAGTAGCGGCCTTAACGTCTTCTACGAGGTCCTTGGACTTGGTGAAATCGATGTAAGCCTAGACAAAATATTAGAGCAAGCTTACACCAAAGCAGAACAAAGAATGATATCATACCTCAGCACCGAGCTGCTCACACATACCTCGCTTCTCATCTCCACCATCAATAGCAATAACGCGCAATCCCATAGCCTTGGCATACTGCTGAGCCAACGAGCCAAGACCACCCCCAGCACCGACAATAGCAACAGTCTGGCCAGGCTTCGCACCAGACTCCTTAAGCCCCTTGTAAACAGTAACACCGGCACAGAGAATAGGTGCAACAGCATCAAGGGCGACCTCCTTTGGCAACTTGGACACATGCGCCGCCTTACCAATAGCATACTGCTGGAAGGTGCCGTCAACCGTGTATCCAGAGAGCTCAGCATCAGGACACAGAGGTTCATCAGAGGTCTTGCAGAACTCGCATGCCAAGCACGATCCATTCAACCATTTGATACCCGCGTGGTCGCCGATCTCGATGCCCTTGGCCAATTCACCTTTGGCGACGACGATACCGGCGCCTTCGTGGCCGCCTACTAGGGGTTGCTTAAGGGGTAGGGGCCAGTCGCCTTTCATGGCGTGTAGGTCTGTGTGGCAGACGCCGCTGTAGCGGACTTTGATGAGAACTTCATCTGGGCCGGGCTTTGGAACAGGAATTTGTTTGTACACTGATGGTCCGCCCTTTTGTTCGATCACTTGGGCCCACTGCATGTCGGGGATGGAGGGGGACATGTTGGTGGTTGGTGGTTGTCCACGGGTTGATTGAGTGTAGATGTAGGTGTAGGGTGATGACGTGAAAATTAGATGTGACGGAAGTAGAAGTGGAAATAGAAATGGGAGTAGAAGTGTGTAATGTATGAAGTAAGGATGTTTGTAACAATTGTAAAAGACAATGTTGTACAGAGAAGGGAAAGAGAAGTTGTTCTTATACAGCGTGCCAATGTATGACAAGCCACATTGCCTGACCATGACCATGTTATTTTCCCGGCTTCACAGCGTCCGATGGAGTGATCCGGTTTTCCAAGAAATACACTGATTCAGTACCTGTCTGTCCCTCTGTGGGTATCATCTACCTACCTAGTCCATCCGCATCCGGTTGTATACGCAGCTCCCTTCCTCCCCGGTCATGCCCAGCCACCTAGACTTCGCACGGCAGAGCTTTAACGGGGATTGACAGGGTCAAGTACTCCACATTATCGGCCGGAGGGAAAAGAAACAGCTACTCCATGCCACAGACCCCGGTCTCACCTGCAGCCCACAGGAACCCAGTGCAGCGCCTACGGCGGCCCCTCATTTGATACAAGAGAAACCTAATCTAGAAAGAGAGCCGAAAGGACGACGTTTGGATGTGATTTGACTGCGCCGGATCCGATTGACCTGCTTCTTACCCCCACGTTGTGCTGATGGGGAGTGGAGGACGTCACCACCGGGCATAAGTACGAGGATCGCCAGGACTGTGTTTCATACTCAAGAGGCAGGCTGGAGCTCTGTTTTGCGGGATTATAAAGGAGAATATAATCAAGGGGCATCTGATGATAGATATACTCCTAATGCCTCAGTGCGCGAACACCTTGGGGGAATCGCGATCTTATGACTGTGGATCCGATCTGGGGAGATGCCATGCAGACATGTCGGACTCGGGGGATCCAAGTTGAATCGTGTTAGTTTCTATAAATTAGTCTATATCTACCTAGTGTTTTAACTTGGTGTGATTGTAACTGTTAAGTAGAAATTGTGCATGCCATCTGCCTCATTCCGGGGCGGCAGCTGTTCCATGTATATATAGTCAGAATATATTAGCTAAAATTTGTTTCTAAATATTTATTTCTAGAGTAATAGCTTCAGTGTCCTTGTAATCTACCAAATTGGACTATATTGGGGCAATGAATGGACTAAAATTGGGTATTTGGCGCGGTCTAATAATCGCGCAAAATGATAAGACACCCGAATCTCACGATCACATTTCTCGGAGGCAGATTCGGAGGAGGCAACTCCTAATTAGCCAAATCATTACCTCCGTTAGCACCTGAACCGAATTCACATGGTCAAATCGTCGTAGTTCTGTGCATTACCACCACCTCCTCTCCACATCCAAGCTTCAGTGTGTTTGTATGGACTCGGAACTGAGATCGGAGCAGTGGGAGTCGACGAAAAGCATCAAAAAAAGAAGACCTAAGAAAAACCAAGACGGTGCATCTACATAGAAAAGCAATACAACTGAATACTCAAGCAGTAGAGGCTCGTGGTAAACACCGGATCTAAGCCCCGGCTGATACCCCAGACGAAGCGATTCAGAAGGAACAGAGTAACTCCCCTTTCTCCCCTCCCTTCATCTCATCTCCCAACTTCACACTTTGTCAACTTCATTTCAACTTTCTCAACTTTCTCAATTTTCCTGTTTCCTCCCACTTCCTCTAACCCCCCTCGCCCGCTCCTCCCTGCATCTCGCCTAGGCCTAGCCGCGCATTCTCTTTCTTGGGCTCCACGGAAACTTCCTCTCCTGCATCTTCCCACCACAAACGAACCCATCCGCCCATCAGGTATTTCTGTCTTGCTTACTTTCTCCATCCCTTTCTTTCATCTACCAACACTCCGAAACCACACCTACACCTATGAACCAAACCCACTGACGTCGCGTCCACGCTAGGCCCCCGAACCCCCTTGACTGGTGTCTCTGGCACCCAGGGTCTCTCCCAAGTGCCTCAATTCCTTCGACCTCAGGTCCTCCCAAGTGACCAAGTCTTCGACGCGCTCAACCCGCACCGGGGACCGCGGCCATCA